AATTTATATTTATAAATTAAATATGAGAACTGAGGTAGATGACAACAAAAGCATTGAAGTCCAACCCAAAAGCCATAAACACACAGAAAATAAAAAAAGAAAGATAAAGAACGTACAACTCACAAATATTACTCAAAACAACTTCGTAGCCACCACGACCACCAATGTCACATCCCGAGATCGGCTCCGCCGTAGCACAATATTGTTCGCTTTGGGCCCCCCTCTCTGTCCTCAAGGTTTTGTTTCTGGGAGCTCACGAGCAACTTCCCAGTAGGTCACCTATCCTGGGATTAGTCTAGCCCCAACTCGCTTAACTTCGAAATTCTCATGAATCCGAAGCCAGTGAGCTCCCAAAAGGCCTCGTGCTAGATGGAGGTGGGCATGTACATGTAAGGCACATCACCCCCTCTCCATTGGTCGATGTGGGATGTTACAATTCACCCCCCTTAACTTCCTAATGGGTCACCCATTCTGGGATTGCTCTAGCTCCAACTCGCTTAACTTCGGAGTTCTCATGAATCTGAAGCCAATGAGCTCCCAAAAGGCCTCGTGCTAGATGGAGGTGGGCATGTACATATAAGGCACATCACCCCCTCTCCGTTGGTCGATGTGGGATGTTACAACCAATTAGTGTCCATTCAAAAAGATGGTGGAGAAGTTGCAGCAATTGAAACGAAGAAAACAAGAGATGAGTAAAACAGTATGAAAACCTCTAGAGAAAGGAAATATAAAAAATAAAAAAATAATAAAAAACTATACAATTGCAGAGACTTTTTAGAAGAAGAAGAGAGAAGAGATAAAATACTTGTGCAATAAGGTGGAGGAAGAGAAAAAAAAAAGTAAAAAAAAAATAGAAGAAGAAGAATAGAAGAGTAAGAAAGGGGGAGAAGGGATGACGTGTTGTATACATAAGCTTAACGATGTTAAGTTCCTGTTAGTTCAATTAGGGTTATTTTTGCTTTTTTATTATGAGAAAATTGGGTTATGTTTTAAAGATGATGTGTCAACTTCAAGTCCCTTGGATTAAATTTTAATGAGGTAGTGTATCTAGAATAGAAGTCAAGCAGATCATAGCAGAGAAAATACAAGCAGATGATCCATATCCATTGAGAAAACTTTTGCTATTAACAATTAACCTTAAAAATATACAAAAGGCATTCATTTAATAAGCTTTCTAAAATCATTAACTCTACCTCCAAACTTCTAGAGATTTTTTAAAAGTGACACCACCAAACTTATAAATATGTTTAAAAGTCACAATCTCTAGACTTTTATAAATATTTTTTAAAAGTCACAATTTAAAGGAGTAGGTTATTGCAAGTGCTAATAGAAAACTCTGATTCTCAATATATGACCACTTGTCTGCAAGTTAAAGGCTATTTTTAGTAGTTTATTTATTTATTTTATATATAATTTTTGAGAATAATGTATTTGTAATTTATTTATTTTGTGTTTTTAAACTAAGTGTTTGAGACATCTCCCTTTATATATAGAATAGATATAATAGATAATAATTTTCATAAAATTATTTTTATGGCTCCATCTAAACTCACATTTTTTAAGCGAATGAAATTGATACAAGCATAGTGCTATTATTACTAAAGCAAAATTATAGCTCTAGTCCCTTAAATAAGACCCCACTTTACGTTTTTGGGCTCGTTTGGTACATAGGACTGTCTTGGCATGGACTATGCTTAGGAACTGTCTTGGCTTGGCTTGACTTGGTCTAAGTTGGATAACACTTATCCTGCGTTTGGTGTACATTTGGACTAGGACTAGATTATTATTTTTTTTCAAAACTATCTATGTATATGCATATATGTATATATGTATAAATACATGTATTATGTATGTGTACATATGTATTTTATAATATATGTGACATGTATGTGTATATACATGTATATATGTATATTATAAATAATATAAACATATGTGTGTATATATATATATATGTATGTATTATACCCATGTATATATATATATATATATATATA